GTTTTATTTCTCTTTCTTTTTTTTTTTTTTAAATTTATTTTTCTTAAAGGCTGCAGCACCTGGCATCTTATCTTGTTCACAAAAAATTCAGTATTGCCAAAATAATAAAAGATGTTTCCTGGATTACTAAATTTAGGAAGAAGCTTGAAAAATGAAGTCAAAAGGCTTGAACACCTGGAAAGAAAATCTATGATCCTAAATGAATTCAGCTGAAAATGAAAAAAGGGGTTCAGAAATAGATTGCTACTCAGTGATTTTATTATTATTAATCTTCTAAGGTACTATAGGTACTATCTGTCTCTGGATTTTATACAGATGCAATTATTACTTTAATTTAAGGGTTTGTCCTCATGCAGAAAAAGTTAGGGGTAAGTGAGTTCCCAAAGATAAAATATGYTAAAAGAGTATTGATTCCTTAACCTATGTAACTAGTTATAATTTGAGTTATTTAATATATGCCCTTATTCTTATGACACATCTGCAATATAACAGCTGGAGTATACAAACTGATTCAGTGTCTGAYCAGATGGACTTTTGTTCCCCTAGCTTGCTGGAAGAGCTTTTTCATTCTGCCTGTAGAATTCTGTTTTATGGTTGGCTGGGGATTCTAAGTAATATTTAAATATTAGTCAAGAGAAATCATCATTACCAGCAAAGCATTTTTTCATTTACCTTTGACAGATACTGATGCAATGATTTCTGCAGATCCAAATACATTGACACCTTGGCATAAATACCGTCCTTCATCAGACTTGGAAGCATTCAAGATTCGCAGGCTCCCCTCTGGAAGAATAGTTATCCTGGAAAGAATAAATACATAAATATATAAATATCTCTCCCATCCTACCTGCCAAATTCCATGATGATATCTTTCAGCGATCATAAATAGGATTAAGGACTGCTGCCTCTGTAGCARGGGATGATGAAGATGATAACTGAATTATCTTCTGTTTCCAAAAGRTTTTAATAAATCCATTTAATTACTCAGTCCTTAATTCAAAATTTTCATGTAAGCATCAGTGGATTAGTATCCTTTGACACTCATTAGGGGTGAATTTTAATGAAACTTTTGTAGAATAGTAAAAAAGGTAATCCTTCATAATTTGTCTTCAAAATTTCACCACTATATTGCTGTCAAATCACATTTCAATATCAAACACAGGCTATTCCATCTAGAAAAAAATGACCTTAGAAATCAGATCTGAGAAGAATGGGAAGCAAAATGCAAAGAAAGACTAGGAAAAAAACCCCCATAAAATTATTATCAATTAGCTGGTCAAAACATGATTTATGGCATCACTGCACAATGTAGCAAAAGGACTTAAATAATCACCACTTTTTTTGTAGATGGGCTTTTATTTTTTTCTCTGAGCCTGTAAAATTGTAGCTCCACTACAATTCTTGGTAATTAACCCCACTGAAGAGAAATGGTCATGAGAATTTTTCATGAGAAWTGGTCAACCATTCACATTTAGGAGTTTCAAATTTTGGTTTTGCTTGCAYAATATAAATCATAAAACCCATGATGCCGTGTGAAAATTAACACTTGTTTTGCTTTGTTCTAAAATGACAAAAGACCCTGAATTTATTCCACCTGAAAGTTGCAGCCCTGGAAGAGCAGCAAATAATCATGGCTCTTTTCCTGACAGGCAACTAAGAGCCTAAAAGGAGTATGACAACTCTTACATGGCATTTAAGCCAAGCCCTTTTTGCAAGTGTTGTGTATCCTTTCCCAGTTAGGCAGTGGTTATGATTCTCTTGAAGGTCTTGGGAGAACTAAACAGGCTGGGAGAGYGACACTCCTTCTGCTGAAAATCCTCTGTGGAGTCCATGATCAGAAATCATGGAGRGTACAATGACGTGTTTTAACTCTTGGGAAGTATTTATCCAGGAGTATGGAACTTTTGACAAGTCTGGGTTGGGCTCTTCAGCAGCAAAAAAGGGAAGGAATTCCCTTTCTAGGCTGGATGTGGTAAAGTGCAAACGTGTTACCTTTGATTTATACTAGGAATGATTTACCAAAACCTAGGATTCAGTAATGTGCTCATACTAGATCACTGACATGAGACTGCATAGCTTCTTTTTTTTTTTTTTTTTTTTTTTTTTTTTCCTTCCCCCACTCCCCAGGAAAAAGAATAATATCTCCTGTTTTCTTACTGTGAGAAATGGTGATTTATTATCCAAGCTTTATAAACATTATGGTGGAGAAAACAGAATTTCATTACAGTGAAAAAAATGTGCTTCTGTTCACTTCAGATGTGAAACCCCTCACTGCTCTCAGCAGACAGCAGAAGAAAATAAAAGCTTCAAAAGTGAATGGAGCAGAAGGAGGACATGCCAACTCCAAGGCTCCCTAGAGCAAACAACCTGAGGATGCATTTCCTATCRTGCTCTAAACAAATCAGTATTTGAGTCACATTATTTATCTAAAGGCAACTTTATAGGAAGACTTTTCATATTAGGCAAATGACTCTGCATCAGAGTTTTGAGGGTTTATATTTTCTTCCAAAAATTAAAAAGGATTGAAACTTTGTTATGACATTTCACACCTTTGAAGAAACACCCTGCTTTAGAAACGGACATTTTTGCTTGGTGTAATATAAAAAAAAATTCTATCAAGATGCTCAGCTTTCAATGGTCTGATGACATAATTTGTAGGGCAATAGCCTTTGCAGAACAGTGATCGTTTTCATCAATATACTGACAGGATGAGAAAAATGAAAGGACATTCCTTTAATGTTTGCAAATTCTAAAAGCTTATGCWCCACTTAAGTCCTGATATAAAACAGGTGAAATTCTGAACTTGGAGGAAAAGGAAGTTAGATGCATATGGAAGATTATCTAATGAATCTTGTGTATATTATCATTACATTTTTATTTCGTTAAAAGCTCTTGCTGTCCATGAGAGAAAGAGTAATTACTCAATCAAAGGAGTTACAAACACATTTGCAGGTGAATTATCTGGCTCAGAAATTAATATTTTTATGCGGGTGCCTAGCACTCATCTGTCCTCCTTTTTTTTTTAATGTTTGACAAAAAAGCCAGAGGCCTGGTTATGATGGAGACTGAAATGCTTTATTTATTCATACAATACTTGCTGCACACAGCAGGAACATAGACTTCTCCTCCTTCCCTGCCAATATCTCTCAGTCACAGAGAGGCCACCTRCATAGCATGTCTACATATTTTAATTTAAAAAAATACCACAGCAAAAAGGTTTTTACTYCATAAATAGAAGGGATGCAAAGACAGGAGAATTGGGCTGGGGTAGAATTAAGGATAAGAAAACCTCACTGTAATCATATAAGGGAGATAGATGTTGTCCWTACAGGTTTTCTGAAAAAAGTGGCACAGAATTAGTGTCTCTATAGAACAGTTTTCATCTGTCTRAAAACATGAAGAAAAAGAGATGAGTGTTGATGTCTTTATGTCAAAAGGCATGTTGTCTTGAGATAAACTGTTAACAGTAACTACTAGGAAAAAGTAATCAAGATATAACAGTAAATGGACTTGAGATAAAATTGAACATGGGTTATGTTCAGTACACTGAATGAGATTACATTGTTTTAGTATTTAATAAAAATACTTTCTAGGGAAAAATAGTGAAGATTTAATCTTCTCTGGGTTTCAAGCATGAGTTTTGTGCTGAAATTCATGTCTGGTTAAATAGGTTTAATACAAAAATTAAGGATTCTTAAGAAATTGGTTGAAGGAAAGAAATTTTTTCTTGAAAGACAAATTTTGGTTTCTATACTATGACATTGTTTTTCAAAATTACCAGGATAAAAAAAAGGCTGGTAAAAATTTGATTAAATAAATGGTTCTTTGACACAGCAACTGAGCAYCAGACTCATAGAAAAGCAGTAGCTGTGACTCTGAACTAAGAGGACCACGCAGTAACTGCAAATACAACCCTAGAATATATCAGATACCAACCTGCATCTCTTTATGAAAGTATTAATAAATGAAGGGCTGATGAAATATAATAAGGAATACAAGACAATTTGGATCATCAGTATTCAGAAAGATTAATTCTTATCAAGCTGACATTTGGAAGGATCATCAGGATGACCAGGGAGGAAAGAAAATCTTTTGTTCTAGAGGTGTTTGTAAAATTAAAACTGAGGTGTCTGCATGTGAGATGAGTTTCTGTTTTACATGCTAGTTCATGGATCTTGTCAGCAGTCAGTGGAACCTTTATTGAAGGTAAAAAAGGGAAGATGTCTAACTCACATTGTAGTTCTTAATGCTTTGGTGTCTCTGCTTGGAACTGAATCGCACCCTCACATCTTAATTTAGCTCCCCAGATAAGAGTACCTTTTATGATCTGACATCATTTGTGGGACAAAACCCCAGCTGCTGCATGACATGGAAATTAATTTCCCCATTGTCCCCACTTGCTGTGGGTTTGGTTTGTGAAATGAAGCAGTCTGAGCACATGAAATTCAGTTGATACTGAACTAGGAAGGATGCTTGAGAAGTGAATGGCTTTTCAGATAAAAACCTGAATTCATCTGTGGAATGGGACTAGAGCTATTTCAAAGAGAAACTGTGTGGATAGTATCAGCTTTTTATTTCTTCTATTGATCCATGCTACCTGCTCATGTAGAAAAAGTCATAAGACACCTGCACCAGACTGACAAATGTGACAGAAGTCCTGTGAGAGGATGCAAATGCTTAGACATAGAAATCAATTAACCACAAACTTCACTGCCCATGAAGCTGACCCCCTCCCAATAAATTAATAACTGAAAGAGCTAAATTGAATCTGAAGTGATTTTGAAATGCATTTTATATCTCTGCATATTATAATTTCCCACACTGATTGTATCAGAAACAGTGCAATTTTTGGATACACAGCTTGAAACACCTGTATTTTTCTTGTCCAAAATATGAGCAAGTTCAGACATAAATATTAGCAGCATTTCTATAATGTCAGCTTTTCTAATGACAGCATAATCCACTAAACTAGTTTGAGAACTTCTACAAAGCCATGGAAACATAAATGGGACCATAAATTTTCTTCTCTAAGGCTTCAGGATTGGACTTAGATTAACACTGGAAAGCTGAAAAACACTCAGCAACTCGTTTTCAGCCAATATTTTCAAATTATTATTTTTCACTGTAAAAATGCTGCAGTCTAGTCAGATTCTATATTCACCAGTAATACTTGAGAATAGAAACACTCTTAGCACATTTGGYTAAACAAAAAGGCTTTCGCTCGCTCAGATCAGTAATTTTGTCAATTTTATTCTTCTTTTACCAATGAAGTATGCACCAGGGACACTAAATACTTGAAAACAAGTGTGCTGCTTAATCTGGAAGGATGAAATTCCATGCTGTTTGCATATGGGATGTTGATGTGAATAGAAAGGTGTTCTCTGAGACCATGTCTGAYAAGAAGCTGATGGATGGAAAGCAGGTTCATAAGAAATGCTGGAACTTTGCTCATGTGTGTTGTTTGGATGCCCTTTATTTGACRGTCTGAAATGCCTTCTCTCAGTCAYTTCTGACTCACAGAGAGATAAGGAAAAGTGCTGATAGAGGTGAACAGAGCATAAGGTCCTCACAAATGTGAATGACAAAGTTCAGGTTCCATTAGGTTTCATGTGATTTAGAAAATGGRAGCAAGTAGGATATGATATGTAAAAATTGCTTGTAGTTTTGCATGTCTTTTTTTTTGCAGTATTTTGATTAAAAGCTAAAAATTATTTTCCTTCCTGATGCTCTGTTTACAGAAAACTTTTGAGAGTGACCATAAACTTTGGTCTTATGTTGAGGGGAAGGAGTAAGAAAAGAC